GTATGATTTGTATTGGCTGCCATGTTGGAGGGCATACTCTTGCCCTCCAACATGGCAGCCAAAACTACTTTTAGCTTATATCTTGTTAAACGTGTGATAGTTATGCTCAGATGTGCTGTAAACATTGGCACATATTTTCAATATTTTCTTTGAAGTTTAAGGGCACAATTTGTGTTCAGAAAGAGATACTTCATTATTTTAAAAATCACATTTTGGCCATGTGACCAGCTATGAACTTAATCATTTTAAGAAAATGGTGCGGCTTTGAAAAACCAAGTTACTATTATTTTATTTAAGATATGACCCACTAATCGTTTTTCGAAGGCAAAATCATATAACTTTCATTTTCATAGAAACAATTTCACATGACCTCTTCCCGTAGGAAACGAGCAGATCTGTTTTTAGTCTGCTACAGATCTGTTGAAACATCTGCAGCAGATCTGCAGACAGTCTACAGATCATCTACAGATTATCTGCGAATTGTCTGCAGAATGTCTGCAGAATATCTGCAAAATGTCTTCAGAATGTCTGCAGAAATGATCTGCAATTTGTGCAGACGTTCTGCAGACGAAGGAGGTATAAATAGTAAGCACAATAACAGATGTACTGCACCAATCAAACACCTTTCATGTTAATCGTAAATACATAACATGTTCTCTCAAATTGCGCCGAAAAAGCTTAGGATAACCGTTAACTACAACTGAATGCCTATCACTTTAGTAATAAAACAATGCAAACAACAAATTTAAAACGAGAGAACATTGAGAAGTCCCAGCTCGCGGGTATGAGAAACAAAATTAAATCACAACAATCTGGCCTGTAAACACACAGTCACAGTCACTCGCTTAAATTTCTTCAATGAACAACACATCAAAATGCTGACATTGAAATAACCGAGCTCAATAACAAAGAAGGATTTTTGTCGGAGGCTATAAGAGAGGAAACGCAACTGTTCAATCACATGAATGCGGTTAATTCCTACGCGACGGTTTGGTTTGTAACACCCAGCGCTATTAGCCTATACTTCAAGTCGCTCACCTCTTCGTTTCCTCCATGATCCGCGATTAGTAAAAGAATAATACATTTTTGAGATTTATTTTGAATTTACATGAATTTAAAACTCCATGTTCGTAAGATGTTGTTTTGAGTTAAGTTTAACTGTAATGAACGATGAGGTACATGGCGTTCGATCGTTTAATGTTGCTGTGTAAAACTGGTAAGTACTCAGTCATGTTTTTTAAAAGAAACTGATTTACCAGCAGCATTCATGAATGTACTTTGAAAAGCTACATAAGTCTTGAGGGTGAATAAAATAAAATGAAAATGGTAATTTTCCAACGCTTTTTATAATAATTGGATGAAGCTTATGTTTGAATTTATCGACAAAGCAGCGGATGGACCCGACCGGAGAGACATTAGTTGCCTGTTTCGAATTGATAAACATGCGCGCTAAATTAATTAAGACGGCTTACAGACTCTGCAGACTTCACAGATCATGTGCAGATCTGTTTTTCATCTGTTTCTCGTCTGCAGGAAAACATCTTTGTAGACGATGAAGGCAATCTGCTACAGACTGAAAACAGACTTTGCAGACGATAAAATGGTCTGTAGCTAGTCTGTTTTTCATAAAACAGATCTGTTGCAGATCTGCTGCAGATCTGTTGGTTTCGTACGGGTTGGTGCAAATGGCAGAATTGGCTATTGAACATTGTTTAAGTAAGTGGTAAAATAGCATGAGTTAAAAAAGATAATTAAAACTATGCAATGCCAATTCATTGAAAGATACAAATGTACGTTATGGTGTTTTTGGTACAGGGGTATACTTTGTCCTACTGGACTTTAACTAATAGTCTCCTCTTTCTGTTTTGTTTCTGAAGTAGAGTATATTAAAAATGTGTACATTTGAATTAAAAATAGCTTGTTTTGTGGAAGGATTTTTTGGTCAGGCAATGTTACCTTTTAATGAGTAAAATCTTAAATTAAGAAACTATTTTTTTTTCAAAATCCAGTATCTTGACTTAATAATTAAAAAAAAATATATATATATATATATATGTTTCAGTAGTGCAATGTTGCTTATTCTTAAATTCACTATTTTTAATTGATGAGGCAAATAAATGTGACACCAAAGATGGAGATTGACTGAAAAAGTCTTTGCAACTGACTTGGGGGGCTCTTTTTTAAAGAATCAGGTCTTGATCTATTAATTGTCAAGGAAACATTCCAGAATCCTGACCAAGAAAGTTGAAAGCTCTTTCAACAATACCTTTTTTTCATCTTGCAAGATTGTGTTAGAATCTTGACCAAGCTCTTGAAAAATCTAGAACTTTAGAGACAAAATCTTGAAAATATTGCAAAAGAAGTTGTTAAGATTCTAGTTACAGTTCAAACCAAGATCTCTACAAGTTTATTAATCAAGATTCTTACAAGATCTTGTAAGGTTTTGGTAGATTCTTGTAAGATCTTAAAAGGTCTTACAAGAATCTTCAATAAGCTTACAAGATCTTTGTTAAGATTCTTGTAAGATCTTGGAACTTATCTTGTAAGATCTTGGTTAAGATTCTTACAAGATCTTGTTAGGTTTTGGTAAGATTCTTGTAAGATCTTGGAATTTATCTTGTAAGATCTTGGTAAAGATTCTTATAAGATCTGGCAAGATTCTTAAATCTTAATCTTAATAAGATACTTGTTAAGATCTTGGTAAGAATCTTAATAAGAATCTTGTTAGGATCTTAATAAGATTTCCACCTGGGTAAGCTAAAGTACATTTGTATATTATTTTCACAGCCACTTTCACTGGAAGAAATGACAGCAAGAAGAGAGGCAGAAAAGAAAGCTCAAGAAAAGGTGTGTTACTGTAAGTAGAACTGAAATATAACTAGTAATAATTATAAACCAAAAGTTATGGAATGTGAGCCACAAAGATTGAAGGTTAAAACACTTTTGCTGTCCTGTGCTTTTGTGTAAGTCTTACTTGACAGATGTTCAAAACATGCATGATCAGATTACGAGTGATCGAAGGTCCAAACACCCGTGATCAAATTGTGTTATACGTGCATTCCATTCATTCTTAGTGGAAGTCCAAATGAACGCTGGCTATACATACATGTACAGTATAGTACATGCTAAGCATGCATAATAACAACCTGGGCCGGGTTGTTTGAAGCTGGGTTAAGATAACCTACAGTTAGTGCAAAATTTGGACTCGGATATGAGGGCTTAAAAAGCAAATTCAGTTTAATTCTCTTCGCCTACAATTTGATGATTGGATACTCTAAAAAGAATAGACAAAATTATCCGAGAGAGTTCTTTTGATAACAAGATAAGGAAACCGGGGTTAAAATTTAACCCCGGGTTAGCGCTAACCGGCATTCGAACAACTGGGTCCTGGAGATTAGGATTGTTGCCCACAATGATACAGAACATTGGAACGCCGTCTCTGTGACCTCTAAGGGACCGTGACATTCAGGTCATAATAATGAGCTGGACCTTTTATCAACTGTAGGTTTTATAATAAAGTTCAGATATAATACGCACTGGTTGTAACATGAGTGTGGGCAGACTTTACCCTTTAAGGCCCAATATCCACATACAAATTCTCCAAACTGATCTCCATACATCTCCTTTAAAGTTATTAGTTGAGAGAATTTGATTATATAAAGATCATGGAATTTTCTCTATGATGATCATTTTATTAATTCTCATAACTTTATCTCTTGACAGTGTATGGATATTGTTAGGAGAAAATTGTTGTTGGTCACTATTGGGACTTAAAGGGTTAATCATGAAGCTCAATGATCTGACATTAATTTTGTTGACACAACCTTTTACTTCACCAGGGTAGTAAATAAAAACCAAGTGAACTAACTCAATATTGATTTTGCTCTTGTGTTATTTTGTTTTGTTTGTTTGTTTGTTTTTAGAATAAAATATATTTTTTGTTGTCTTTAGCCAACTTTTTTAACAAAGGAACAGAGAGCAATGGAAGCATTGAAAAGACGACAACAGCAAGTTGAGGAACAGAAAAAAAAGACTGAGGTAAGAGATGCATGTTTTGTCGCTTTTTGTGACTTCCTTACATGTGAATTTCTTAAATTTATTTTGCACCAGACTTTGGTTGTTTATAGAGATGGTTGCTCATTCAATGGATAGATAGTGAGATTAAGAATCACATTCATGGCAAATGGTGAATCCAATTTTATTTGTACGTGTACCTTGTGCTTAAGTCTTATCTTCACTAAAAAGCTTAACTGTTTATCATATCTTAACTTAAATATGAGAAATTTCATGCCAGTTCCATCCCTAAGAATATAACATAACTGTTTTGGACGGTTCCTGTTAGCTTATTTCTTAATTTGAGCAGAAAAATTACAAATTTCATGCCATCTAAATTGTACTCTCAGATGGTTCCTTTTGAGCTTTGCCTATTAAAATGGCAAACTGAGGGGCAGATAAAATAATTAGTTATTTTCTTTTAATATTATTATGTTTTTCACCTTCCACTTAATTGACCAATCAGAACAAACAATACTACAGTGGAACCCCACCTTACGGCCACCTCGGTAATATGGTCACCTCATTATTACGACCACTTTTTTTGGCTGCCCGGCAAAAATGACCATACATTGCTTGTGAAGAAATCCTCGTTAATATGGACACCTCATTATCACTGCCATTTTTTTTGGCCCATCAGTGACCGTATTAGCAGGCTTCCACTGTACCAACCAGTTTGGATAACTTTCGAAAACTGAAAATTTTTTTGTGGCTTTTCATTTCAAAACAAACAGGAGGAGCGTCAAATGAGAGAAAAGTTTTTAAGAGAGGCACAATATTCAAGAGGTAAGTATTAGAAAAACCTTTTTAATTAAGAGAAGCCGAATCATTTCACACTGTTTTAATGCTTTAAATATCACAGCACAGAAAAGTACACATAATTATTAATGAAAACAAAGATGAAAAGAAAAAGACAGATTATTTTTACATAACTACATATACAACGAATGAAACTGACATTGCTCAACTTTCATAGTTTCTCTAGGAAAGGAAAAGAGGAACGGGTGGATGGTTTTACTTTAAGGGGGACTACTTAGATCCATAAATTTGATCCTTTATTGGTAATAATTATTTTTAGTTTAAAAGCTGTTAGTTATTCAATTACATTTTTTTCTGGTCTGAGGGGTGAATTTAAGGGGGTTTTGGATCCCATGATCTTATCCTGGTTCAGTCACTACAAGGGTCTAGTTAATGAACATTAATTGGGGGGAAGAACATGTGATATTAATTTACTCATTAGTGCACAGTTAATGGTGAGTGATTATTTGCAAAAGTGAAGAATAATTCTTACTTATTTATTTACTCTGTTCAAAAACTCTTTTTTTAGGCTGAAAGTGAAAAAGAAAGGCTGCGAAAGGTACTAGAATTATTATAGATTTTACCAAAAACTCAGGAGGGGTTATGTAAAATTATAAATTACAGCTATTGCAAAAGATTTTACAGATGAGTGTATTTACACAGGAATATAAAGCAAGCTGCAATGAAACAAATACAATGGTAGCTTAGATTAACATTTTGGCCTGCAAATAAAGAAAAAAATCTCATAACGTAGCACATAAATTTAAGAATCCCAACTGTTTGTAGTCAAGTCAGTTGGCTACAAGAGGGCATGGCTGAGGAGTTAAACTTGCCAATGCTGTGAACAACTGTTCCTAGTGGTGAAAGCGTGATTTGAACCTGATGTGATCAAGTTTGAATCCAGCACCTCACACAACTTGGTCATTCTGACTCCTCCAAGTCTTAATCATGTTTTATTTAAGGTTTAGGAGGTGTACTGTACAGTTTTTAGTAAACATGCACAGTGTAGTTCTCTTTATTCTTGTAGGAGAAAGAGCAAGATAAAGAGGTGCAAGCTATCAAGGTAATGTATCATCATCTAAATGAGATTTGTGTGTGAACAAGACAGTGTTTATACATGTATGCCAGTAATAAAATTGTCTAAAGAAGGTAAAATCTTTATCTAGTATACAAGTCATAAAAATAGTCTGCTGCAGTTATTCAGATGGTATGGAATGGAAGAGTGTCAGCACATGATTTCTATGAAACAACTAGGATTTTCTATGAGAAAGATGATTTTTCCGTCAGTGACACAGGTGACTCAGATGAAAAAAATCCCAGTTTTCCAAAAGGCCGATTTAGACAGTATGATTTTTCCTTGCACGGCTAGCACGCACGGTTAGCATGTGTCCTGACTTCACAACAGATCGTGTTGTGTAAATTAGACCCACTACATTCGTACGACATTGGGGATGTCATAAGTGAAAATTGTGCACGTGTGGATGGTCAAAAGGTGTGACGTATGCTGGTCGTGCACGATAGTCGTGAGCAAAAATTGTACTGTCTAAATCAGCCTAATAGGAGTTGAACCTATGACCTTGTGGTTACAAGTCCAGAGGCTCTACCACTGAGCTACAGGATACTCGTGGAAGCTGAGACCACTAGATTCATGAACCCAGGAGCAAATGTTAGGCACCAGGGGTCAAGCTGGCATTGCTAGAGCACAGCCTTGGTTTTCAAGATAGTGTTGGAAGGCAAAAGGTCTTATAAGTTCATACAATCGTTTACTTAGAAAAACTGGGAAAATACCCACCTACCCCTCCCCTAACCCAAAATTTTGCCTCAAGGGAAGAAATAGTAGTATCAATGTTGGTTTAGGGGGGGGGATGGGGGAAGGTGGGCAAATCTTAGCATTTTATGCTGATCCAAAAGGTACATGGGCCAGTTTTTTGGTGCAATTTTTGTAGGAGGGATTACATTGTGTAAATTGTCTGTACAAACTAGTGGGAATTTTATGGCTATTTGTCGCCACAAAATCACGGCTTTTTTACTGCTCGATCCTGATGTGATTCATCAGAGATTTTCTGTGCAAGTGTTACTAAGAATCTACCTTGGCAGAAATCATGCCTAAAATTGCACAAAATGTCACCTGTGTAATTGGGCCTTTAACAATGTTTGTCTGTCCTGCTTCATTTCAGGAGCGATACCCAGGTGGAGCCAAAAAAAGAAAGAAGGTTCGTCGTCTTGCTGACAGAAAGTTTGTTTGACTGGGACACAGGAGAAGACACTGCTGTCGACTACAATCCACTGTAAGTGCTCACATGACTGCACCAAGCTTTTTCGTGCCATCACCATTGACACATTTAGTTGAAACAAGCTATTTTATTGATTCTTTGGTGCAGTAGTTTTTATTTATTTTAATAAGTGTTATTGAGACACATAACAAATTGGTTTTATTCTGTTTGTTAAAAATACAAATCATTGTAAATTATTGAATGTAGATTTGCCATAATTGACTTGACTGTATTGCTGTATAGTACCAATAATTATCACGACTGCTCTTAGCTTGCTCTTGATTCAATTGCCTCAAAACAACACAGGCTTTTGTCAGCAGTCCGGAGGTACTTATCCAAGGGTGTAGCGAGTAAAGTTTTGGCTGTTTTAATAATACACCTCCTGTTTGGACTAAGGTTTCAATGTTGCCAGGTATATGCAATTAGGAGGTCAGGAACTGGACAGGTAGCAAGGTCTTTTCCTTCTATATTGTAAGAAATCAAATAGACCATAGAAATGGCGTCAAAATGTTCATTACACAAGTGAACCACGAGCTGCAGGCCTTTGAAAGTAGCAGGGGTCATTGCGGGGGAAATCCCAAGCCCCTGGACGTCACTGACATCCCTGATTAATGCCGGTTATTAAAACTGGTTTCACATCTAAACATAGGTTGTTGTTAGAGCGATTTTCGAATGACCTTGAAATGAAAACGGGCGAACAAAACAGAAACAACAAACGAACGGAAATAGAGCGATTTGATTGGTTTTTCGAACGGATATTAACGCGCGTGTCTTTTGTTTAGTTAATCGAACGTTCGGGTGAAAATACTTCGTGCCCTAGAACTTTATAGAAATCAATCGATACTTCGCTTTGACGTCATACTGCCACACAATTGGCCAATCGAACAATGCCTTCTCCTTATTACGGTTTTCTTTGGCGGGTAAACGAAGAGGCCATGTTTTGATCTTTTCATCCATTGGCTGATAAAACAATTAATGAACACTTACATTTGTACCGAAACCATTTTTCAAGGTCAGACGAAAATCGCTCTAACAGCATTGAGAAGGCATACAGAACATATCCATCTACTTACATTGATGAAATAGACACCTTACAAACAGATTTGGAGGCTTCTTGAGTCTCAAGAAAAAAAGTAAAAATAAACAAGAGTTTGTTCATTTAACCAGCCTAGGGAGTTAAGTGCTGATATGCTTCTTGATCAAGAAACATACATTCAGTCTGTGTAACTCTCTTTTTTAGTTACAAGTACTTGTCTTGCATAGCTATACAGAGAAGCATCAAATTCAGCTCTTTGAAAGGGGACATATTGGTGGAATTGATATCAAGGTAAACATTAAAAAACAGCTGGGTATCTAACCACAGTCGAGACCACAGAATAAGATTGTTGGATCATAATACGTTTCTGGGAAACTGCCCACCTACCCCTCCCATAAGCCAACATTAACACTTACTTCTCACTTAGGGAAAAAGATTGGATTAGGGGACGGGTAGGTGGCCAGTTTCCCAGAATTGTATAATGATCCAGGAGGGGGTGCACCGCTAAGGAATGGCATAACTGACTGGTGACGTAAATACATTTTAAAAGCGAATATCAAGAAGAAGGCTTTTGCAGGCTTTTGACTAGGCAATAACATAATGTGAACTGCCGAGAATACGTATCAAACGATACAGCAGAATTCAGGGCCAAACTACCATTTTTTGATACGGTGTTTAACGTAAATTCTCCAACCTCGTCTCGTGTTTTACTTCAGCACCAATAAACCACCAATTTTTCTTTTTTGGCAAAATACCAGTTGAATTAGAAAGCCGCAGGTCATCTTGAGTAGAGGGGAACGGGGGTGCGCGAACCCCTCCACCCTCCCCCTAAATCCGCCCCTGAGGTGTACGTGTACACACTTCTTCATCGTCATTATCAGCATCCTTCGGCCTCAGCCGAGACTCCTCAAACTACTCCTTTCCTCCTCCTTTTCACATCGTTTTTTTTTTTGTATCAGCCATCACCATAGAGACCTAGAGTGGAGGCCGAGGACGGGATTTAAGTTTGATTTTTTCGCGTATTCTTAAAAATCCAACCCCGGAAGGCGTCATTGTACTTTTTTCACCAGAAAAGTTAGCACAGTTATTTTTATTGAAGAAGGTTTTAAAGTTCCCTCATGAGCGTCTTGATACTAACTTGTTTCCGTTCCTGCTAAAACTCGTAGTAGAATGATGACGGCTGTCGCGTTTTCCCGCCAAAATGACGCTGGCTCACGCTCGAGCACTACTTGAAAATCTCGTCCTCGAAGTCGTCCTGTTCTTTGAATTTAAAGCTAAGGTCTTTGTTATTCAAGTTCCTAACCACAGTCCCTCATTAGGGAGCTCTCGCATTTATACGACGGGGACGGCAGCGCAAACGTCACACAAAAAGAGAATTCGCGATGCTTCAAACCTTTTGGCGTTTATTCCATCTCGTTGTCCAATATTGGCGAATTTTTCTGTAGTTGAATTCTAAATGACTGTAAGTAAGTTCAGGAAAAGAAAAATTAAGGCTATGTTCACACTAGTACAGATGGCTTTTGCGCCGACTCGAAAACTATACCGGACAGGACTTCTGTTCACACATAAGAACGGTGATTCCGGCGCGAGTTCTGTGACGGAGCAACGCTACGCCGCGCCGCACTGATCTGTGGAGAGTCACATATCGGATAGGTGTTCACACTAGATAAGCACACGAAAAGCTATCGTTTCTCTTGTTCACGTCCTTCACAAAATGTGAAATTAGGAAGTTCACGTCCTAGTCCTGCAACAACGGCAAAAAAGGTACAAAAAAGCGTGATGCACGTGCAGAGTTGTTGTTTTGCTTAATAAACCTATTCCTATTGCTTTTTGCCGTTCTCGTTGCCGCGGCCGTTGTTGTTGCTAAAGCTGCCTAATATGATGCCAGGAAAGGTTTATATTTTCTACGTCTTAGTGGGCGCGGCTTCGTCTCCAAAACAAGACGAATTTTCTCAGTAGTGATGTATTTTTTCTTTGGCCTTTATCAGGATTGAAGTGGTTAACCCCTCTACAACAGCCACATTGCCCCTTAGGTGGCCCGCCGTCCTTGCGAGGCGAGGCTGTGTATTAGAATGTCAGTAAATAGTAAGGTGACAGGTTTTAAAGTTAAAATCCTTGGAAAATGTTTTTTTTTCTTCCCAGTAGCAAAAGAAGGAGACAGGAAAGTTTTATCAGGAAATGTTGGAGACAAGACGAACTGTTGAGGAAAAGACCCAAGAGGCGTAAGTATCTTATCTTGCCAATAATTAGCAAAAAAAAATACTAACACTGACGCGAATTGCATTTGAAATTAGATCATTCCTGGAAGAGATGAAAATTGTCCCGAACGGGACAAATTATGTCTTACGTCCGCATTGCACTGTGATTAATGAACGTTTCCTGTGCATTGTCGGAAAGCCTGGTTCCAGCGTACATGTATGTAAGTCGAGTTTTCCATCGTTTGCTGGTTAGAAAACAGTTTGAGTCTGGAAAAAGAAAAGTATTGTCTTAGAAAAAGTCCGGGAAAAGCCTCGAATTTTCGATCCAAAACTCTGTTCGAACCATGCTCCAGTTGTGGATACTATTTCTGCTTCTCTTGGGTATCCGCTCAACAGAGCGTCAACTGTAATTATTTGAGAGATTTAGAATAACGTTTACGGCAAACTGTAAACGTCAGATGGAAGTGGACAATTATGAGAAAAATCCAATCCAAAATCCTTCGTACTTTCTTACTGATAAACCTCAGCGGCATAAAACTTCTAATATTAGAGAGCTTTAGATTTAAGGGCGAGTACAAGTGCGAGATTTAACTTAAAGTTTTTGCTCGTGTTCTCAAACAAAAAAAGACACCCAGGAAAGCTTCACTGTACTTTTTTCACCAAAAAAGTTAGCGGGGTTATTTATACTGCAGGAGGTTAAGCTCTCTCCCGATAGCAAAATGCTAAAACTTTCTTACATTTGATAACTTGCTCGCACCACTACGACTTCCTTGCTAAAACTCGTTGTAGAATGACGACGGCTATCACGTTTTCCCGCCAAAATGACGCTGGTTCACACGTGAGCAATACTCAGTATTGAGAAAATCTCGTCCTCGTCAAAGAATCTAAGGGTGCGTTTCTTTACTAAAATCCAAATCCGGATTTTTAATTGATCTCGGATTTTAGTGAAGAAACGCACCCTAAAGCTCTACATTTAAGTAGATATAAAAAACAATAAACGACAAGTAAAGGGGAAACTTGATCACGTGGTGCAAATTTCCGTTTGCTGTAGACGTAACTCAAGGTCCCTTCTTTTTTAGGACGCGAATAAAGAAGCAGCGTGATCAGGAAAGACAGCGTGCGTTCGATGATCGTCACTGGAGCAAAAAATCCTTGGAGGAAATGGTGGAAAGAGATTGGCGGATCTTGCGAGAAGATTTCGCCATCTCTACAAAAGGCAAGAGATTCTAGGACAGGCTGTTGAAATCTAGTCGTTTTTGGTCGTGGCCTTGTTTTATCTGTGCTTTTTTTCTTTTTGTCTGTGGATTGCTCTGTGTACTGTTAAATACTAACATAGTTGCAGTCTTAATCGTCATTTCCGTCGCAACTGAAGAAAAACAACAACTGAAGTGTTATTACCCAAGGAATGAGCTGATTATCACTAAATACTCTTAGCTGTAAGGAATTTTTTTCAGAAAATGAGAACCAATTTAAGAACCAAAATAGCCTAAATTTGTCCTTATTGCCATTTATGTAAGAACGTGTTAAGGCTAACTAGGGAAAATATAGGTTCTTACTCACGGGTCATTACTGTATTTTCTCCCTCCTCATTGCAGGTGGCAAGATTCCATTTCCTCTGCGCTCATGGAGAGAAAGCACCCTTCCAACATCAATATTAGATATTGTAGACAAACTGCAATATGAGGTAAGCCGGTCATTTTGATACAAAGTCGTTTCGATACTAGTCGTTCGATACGAACTCAAGAAGTGAAATTGCCCAAAAATTTTGATCACTTCGAGTAAAGTTTGCAGTTGAACAAGAAATACACTTTGGTTGAATATTCTTCGTTCTTTAAGCCAAGTACGTGAAACTATTTACACCTCGAAGGAGCTAACTTGTATCGAAACGACCGGTAACCCCCTTTAGTTTAGTCACTTATCTCCCCCCCGCCCCCCGCCCCAAATGTCACAACCAGAATGGGGCTGGTTTAATTTTCACACTCAAGTTAAACTGTTTCCTTACATCGATATTCATAGTTTGTAATGTCTGGAAGACGGAGGCAATGTTATTATTCCTTGCACACTTGGTATGAGGGTTAGACTGTCAGAGTATACGTTGATGAAAAATCTCGAAGCATCATCGGCTATGCTTTTCTTAATCTAGTCACTTATTTAACCACAGCAGGGCTACCTCAGTTGGTAGATCAGCAATGGTCCAGATTAGAAGGTTACAAAAGAACTGAGACAGAAGGTTCTGCGCCTGGCAAACGGCTAGACCTTCGCGCAGCTTGGATGACCGCTTTGAATACAACTGACTTTTAAATGAAGTCGATTTTTTTATCTGTTTATTTACTGGGAGGTTTCATCTACTTTAAATGAAAAAAGTGATGTTATCTGTAGGGCAGAGTTTACGCTCAGAATTATATGATTTTCCCATGTGAAAAAGCTCTTTCAACTCGTACAAATGTTTCATTCGTCCAAACCGAAAGTAAACTTTAGAACAGCTCGCAGATGATCTGTCCTGTGTGTTCATAGGAACCAACATCAATTCAGCGCCAAGCCATTCCTATTGGACTTCAGAACAGGGACATCATAGGAGTAGCTGAAACAGGTGAAGTGAGAACCCAGTAGGGTTGACTATTGGGAAAATTTTAACTACGGTGAAACCTGTATTAAGCGGACACCCTTGGAAAATGCTGTAGCGTCTTGCTTGATACAGGGTGTCCGCCTAATACAGATTTCGATAGATAATATCAGATGAGGTGTCATATGCCATTCAAATGAACAGTGGAAACGTTTAGAATACTGCCAGAGACTATGACGATATACGTTTGCATTAATTCTTTATCAAAGTGGACCAAGATCATAGTACCACAAAGGTAGATTGCAACTCAAATTTGAAGAAATCAGATGAGTGAAACAAGCTCTATACAAACAAAACGAAATAGAAAACAATACTGTACTGTGAAACTAATCAAATAAGTTCGTCAAGTCACGTTTTTTAATGTAAAAATCGAAAAATTTGTGGGTGGCAATTCGAGGCAATCTTTCACATTTTTGGTGTCTGGCATGTTGGGTGGTGGAATTTAATTACAAGTGTCCGTTTAATACAGGTTGGCAACAATAGAAATGACCATTTCAGGTACCTTTTAGGTGTCCACATCTGCTTAATAGAGGTGTCCGCTTAATAAAGGTTTCATTTAAAGAAAATAAGGGAAATAGATTTGGGGACTTCGGCTACTATCCGCTTAATAGAGGGTGTCCGCTTAATACAGGTTTCACTGTATAGAAATTGTATTGCAATAGGTCACACGGATATTGAGAATAGGCGGATAACATTTTTTTTTTCAATAAAAAGGTAGTGGTAAAACAGCAGCATTTCTGATTCCTTTATTGGTGTGGATTATGGGGCTGCCAAAGATTGAACGTGACGCAGATGCTGATAAGGGACCTTATGCTGTAATCTTAGCTCCGACCAGGGAACTGGCACAACAGGTTAGTTGGTCATTTCGCCCTCAGGCGAGTTGGCATGAGGGCCTCATGTCAACCCACCAGGAAACTGGCACGACAGGTTAGTTGGTCAATTCGCCCTCAGGCGAGTTGGCATAAGGGCGTCATGTCAACTCGCCCCAACCGTTTCGCCCAAACAGATGAGGCTCGCGTGCAAGAATTCCTTAAGAGCAACGGTTAGTTTTTTTAGGAAAAAAGCCGAGTTTTTGTGGTCTACATTCATGGTAGTACATACGTCCATACATACTTTCTTGTTTCCTCCCCAAAGGGGCTTTTCAGGAACAATCATTATTTACAATCATTACATTTAATTACAACACTTACATTATTACTGATTACAGTGCTTAACTTGTCACTAATTACAATGCTTAACGTAGCTAAGAAGTATTTACAAAATTATCTAAAAGCTGGTTCCTTAAAAGATAGTAGTACGTACGCCTGCTTGTCAGCAGGGTGGGGGGAGGGGGGGGGAGTGCTAAATCACCGTAAACTATCAGTTCGATTAACTCACCAGGCTTCGTGCCGTAGTTGAAAGTAAGTACTTCCATTGTTGCAAAGGTATACCGCGTTAAATCCGAGCCGACGGTGCATTTGTTTTTCTAATCTTGCCAGATCGAAGATGAAGCTGCCAAGTTTGGTCGTCCTCTTGGTGTCAGGACAGTGTCTGTGATTGGTGGGGTAAGAAATCTACGCATAAGTCTGACAATTTCGTTATCAATGGTGTGGTAGCTACCCTAGGTGCAATGTTGGAACAATGTTGGAACTATTCGAAACAATGTTGCAACGCTGTGTTGTGCTAAAATCGTCCCGTGAACATCACCTTAAATCATGTTCGCCCATCGAATCCGCCGTAACGAGGTATAACGTGGTTCATCCTACATATTGTTGGAGCGGACATCTGTGGCCAGGACATGTCGTACCTCGTGCGGTAGGAGTTCCCGTCCCGGTCGCGAGAAGAATGCAACAGGACAAAAATTTCCAACCGTGCGCTTATTCCTTCTCCAACTTCCCTCCGAGCTTAGAATTGCTTTCCTATAATTCGTAGAGACAGTTGTCGCTGGGTTTCCAAAATGAAGTATTTCCCTGCGTGAAACAGAATTTCATGGTTGCTGAGCCCGGAGTTAGTCGCTTAATAGAGAGTCTAAATACAGCGTTTGTGTCAAATGGGATTTTGAAATCGATAAGAGAGATGAGCACGCAGCCATAAAAGAATAAAATAATAAAAAGTCAATTAACACGTACCTTTTATACATTTTAACTCCAGCTTTCTCGCGAGGACCAAGGATTTCAGCTAAGGCTTGGTTGCGAGGTAAGCTAATCTCTAGTGCCTCTTTCATGCGCTGCAACTAGCCTTCGTGGCCAGACCGAGAGAGGGAGGAGGAACTTCCCTCCTCCCTCACCCGCTCCTCGCGGTATCGTGCGCCCGAATTCCCCCTACCCCGCTTCATCCCTTCCCCCGACCCCCCCTCCGCCCGATCGAACACCTGGCTCGTAAGCCACACTACAACGCACTCTCCAGACAAAGAGGGTGAAGAAAAATTCATTGACCACCTAAGAAATGGGAAGGGAACCGGGGCCCATTTCCGAAAAGTCCCGGTAACTTTTCGAGCCCGAAATCAAATATTCAAATCGAAATATAAAGAATAAGAGCGCGGGTCCTGGCTAGCAAACTACTCCATTTTGTTTCATTAACTGATAGTTACTCTTGAAACCTCGATCTTAGATGTAAACGAGAGACATCTTACCGGGCCCGTTAATAATCGGGACTGTCGAGAAACGGGCCCCTGGAGCCGAAATGCGTGCCGCAATTGTTTCTGGGATGGTTACTAAGGACGCGCCGGTCAGCTATTGGCCAATTTTTTTCCGTGTCCCTAGTAACAGTCCCAGGAGTCTTTGCAAAAGTTCACTGGGCCCAGATTACCTCTCCTTTTTACAATGGCGAGTTGTAGAGAAGTGCTTGTTGCCTTTTATGTTAACATGTATCGCTGAGTACTTACTCCGTTATAATTTTTTTTCAGATTGTCATTGCTACACCTGGTCGTCTGATTGATGTGCTTGGTAAATGTTTTCTTTATATTTCTCATTTCTGCTTGTGCAGTGTTGGCACCCTACAGTATCACGAGATGATTCGAAAACTACAATCATTGGTTTTCTAGCGTTTTTTCGAAATAACACTGTAATACTTGAGTCTACTTTTATCCGAACCGTCCTTAGCCAAGTGTAGTTGTCTTGTGATAGTGTAGTAAGTTTTTGTTTGGGTTGAACAGGGTAGGAAATTTTCCTTCATCAACGGCCGCTGTTCCTGGAGTCGATGAAGGTTTCAATCCAAGACCCTGGTCCTAACTCCATGAGTTCTTTCCCTACTGTTGCTCTCCTTGTCTTTCAGGGTTTCTCTATTTTTCGTGCCTTCAGTTCTGGTGCCCATTTGATGCCGGTGCGGGAATTTGAAATGGTATAGAGTTAAACTAAGTTATTCAAAATTCAAGGCGAAAAAGAATCTGACTGTATCTTCTCTTAGACATGGCAAATGTGAATCTATAGAGTTGCAATTTCGTTGTTCATAAGATTTGAAGTAATTGATTGAAGCGTTTTGTTCTTCTTTCTCTTACAGAAAATCGATACCTTGTGCTCAGTCGCTGTTCATATATTGTTCTTGATGAGGTTAGTAGTATTAATTTGTTTTAATTTTTGTTTTTGCGAAATTTTAAATCAAATGAAGAATAAGCTATTTTACAAAGGAAAATGCGGTGGAAAGCCCTACTCTATACTCGATCATTCGTCTTTAGAAAATCTGAGCCATGTCTGTGGTACTATTTTAGGCTGATCGTATGATTGACATGGCCTTTGAACCTGATGTTCAGAAGATCTTGGAGCATCTTCTACTGAGCAACGTCAAACCTGATTCAGAAGATGCCGAGGATCCAGAAAAGCTGTTAGCTTATATGGGAAAGGACAAGTTTAGACAGGTTCGTATAAATAAATTAATTAATTAAACCGCGGGCTCAATGTTTCAGTGTCTTTCGACTGGGGAGCTGGTTAGTAGGCGGGACTTAAAGAATTTTCACGGTTCACATGAAGTTGCCTTTAATATAATAGTGAACTTACCCAACAGGACGGGAGAGAAAAGAAGACGGCAAACCTTGTGTGACAAGCGTGACTATAATTTTGGTTGAATAAACTTTCGGCCAAACTTCACCTTCCTTTGTACAGACCTTTTTTTAAGAGACCAGAAAACAGTAATGATATGGGAAGACCACGACAAAACACGCAATTAATAGCCCTGTCACATTTGTCACACACAAGCATTTGCCGTCCTTCTCTTCATGCCGCCCTGTTGCGTAAACTCACTAATAACTGTTTGTAGCCTTCGTATTTCGTTTGTTTCAACAACGAAAATAGGAGATGTCTCGTCGAGGAGATGAAGTTGTGACTCTAGTCAGTGGACACTACTAGAATGCAGTGTAACCACTAGTTGAACTTTTGAACAATATCACTAAAGACCTGTGAACTGAGATTAGTATCATTGGCTTTTCTGTTTCACCTTTTTTTAGACTGTAATGTTTACGGCGACAATGCCTCCACAAGTAGAACGCTTGGCCAGAAACTATCTAAGGTCAGTTATCGGTTTTACTGTGTACTGAAACTGTGTTTTCTAAATAGATGTGCTTCATTGGCGATCTATCCGCATACAAAGCCGCTCACATTAATTATAAATAACTAAATAATAAATAATTCCGGTATATACCCCCGGTAGATTTCGAGCAGTCTCTCTTTATTCTTGGTCGGTCGAGCAAAACGCGCGTGACTAAAGGCGCGAGACGGGAGAGGCATGAAAAAAGAGAGACTCTCTTTTATCTTCTCGGGCTGCCGCAGTCGTTTCTAGCGTCTCGCTCGAAGCTCGCGCGCGTGCATTTTCCTCCATAAATCTGAAGAAAAAGAGAGACTGCTCGCATTCTAACCCCCCAGCAATGTTTACCGCGCAAGGCTGGTGAGACCGAGCAAACGACTGAAAAAAATAGGTCAAAAAGACCATTTCCGTACTCGAAAATCCCTCACTTTAAAAAAGCGAGGCCGTGTGCATGACCCCATTTGTGAAAATGAATTTAATTTGCTTGAGAATTAAAAAATCGTTTTCATATCAGAGACTTTGCACACTTAGTTTCGTTTTAAAACAGTGGCTTGGGACAACTTGAAATTTGCCCATACACGTAACAAGACTAACAATACCAACTGCATAGAGGCAAACCAGTTGGATATTTACAACCTTGGTTGAGGATTTGAACAAATCCAGCAAGCGATTAGGGCTGGTATTGAACCCAGGGTCTTCGGATAGCAAGTCCACCAACGCCTTAACCGCTCTGCCACGCTGCCGTCTACCCTTGAATCCCCAATATCAGCACCCATATTCCAGTTCTAATCATATTTATCAACACCTGTACGTTTAAGCAGTGATACGTTAGGGAGCAATTAGATGCTGATCTACATCATAAAACGAGGAGCATTGACGAATAATTCTTTGGTAAAAAGCAATCTTAAGTGACTGGGAACCTAACATTGTGATGCTTTATTTTTCTTTCAGGCGCCCAGCTGTGGTTTACATCGGTTCTATAGGTAACAAGTCTGTTTTAACCCTCCTTCAACGGGATATACAGTGTAACGGGGATCTTTCTGTTCCTTTTTTTTCCCTTTGCTGGATTATGACGGTCACACATCGGTCATTGACGCTGCATATCCAACCAATTTTACACCATACTGAATTATGCCAGGGATGATTTCCTGAAAACTAGCTTACCACGTTATGAGCTAAACTGCAGTTGTCAGGTTCATCTTGCGAGCCTGGTTCCTCAAAAGATATCAGTTTAGTTTAACCCAGGGTAAAACCTAATTTTAAGCAAAGTTTTCTTGTTGGAGGTTTTGAAATATTGTCCAGGTTATTAAAGCGGGCAGCTCTACTGTTTGTATTTCTGTATTAAAGTAATTCAATTTTCTCTCTTCACGTCACAGGCAGACCAGTCGAGAGAGTGGAACAGAAAGTTTATTTGGTTAAAGAACAAGCAAAGAGGTACGCCTGCGTGTATCATCTCTTATATATTTATTAAACTGTAGCAATGTAAAAAAATATATATTTTCGCGAGATTAATTGCGGTATACTGTAGTTTTTTACTTCGAGGTCACATTATGTCTAACAGTTGAACTGTTTCCCGCCAAAATCTCTTAGCAGGCAACATTGCAAAATCTATGACATCGGAAGGTAACAGTGCACTGTTACCTGCGAACGTTGAGGTTTAATGAATTTCAAGCTATATAGCAAATCACTTCGGGAAACAGTTAATTTTGTTTCCGTTGAATCTCAATGTCGTCCTCGGCTTATTAGGAAATAATATTAGCTGTTTCGCTCGGGACCAGTCATTTTAAAAGTGTTTATTGTTGTTTCCTTGACAGGAAGAAGTTGTTAGAGATACTGAACGCTGGCATTGATCCTCCGATCATGATATTTGTCAATCAAAAGAAGGTGAGAATTGCGTGTCACCGCAGCTGATAGTTGAGATGACGTACAAAAAAATA